CTGGCTCAAGCTCCAGGCATTTATTCTTTTTGAAGCAGGTACAGGTAGAGCAGTGTTTCCCAACCTTTTTTGTCCAGGGACCACTTTGACCAGGGACCACTCTCCAACATTACTACCAAAAGGGTTACGAATCAGTTTTTGGTCAACTTTAGATTTGGTTTGGTTATTTGGGGTGCTGATTCAGATAGATGGATGGAGGGATGGATGGCTTTACTTTGAAGGAGCTGGGGGTGGTGACGGCCGACAGGAAGCTCTGGCGTGGGCTGGTCCATGAGGTCACGAAGAGTTGGAAGCAACTGAACGAATAAACAACAAGATTCAGAAAATTGCATTGGATAGGCCCCATCAGCTCTAGTTTCTGATATATAACATATGCTGTCCAGTAGTCACCATCTGCTCACCGACAGAAAAACATATTTAATAATGTAGAAATGATATGGTATTAGTAATCTTTTGTGGGTAGTCAGCCTCTCCCTTCTCAACATCCCTTAGACCATATTTTCGTTCTAGTGGACCACTGGTGGTCCCTGGACCATAGGTTGGGAATCATTGCATTATATAGAGGTGGGAATCACATGGCCCTCCAGACAGCCCCAAGTAAAAATAAAGTAAAAAGTGCATTTTTAAAAAGACTATTGATTTCCACTTCTGCATTTTAGAACACATCTATCTGAGAATAAATCCTATTGAAAATCCATGCAATTTCTGAGTAAGTAGGCAATGAACCACTCTGAGCAGAAATGAGATGATGCAATCATTTAATTCAGTCCTTGTGCAGGTTAAATCAGAACAAAAGCCCCATCTAGTTGAATGAGGCTGGCTTTCTAAGTGCATAAAATTATTACTTAGCACTACAACTGTACTGCTTACCACACAGTTCGAGCCATGACTATTGTAAAATAAGTCTCACTGAATTCAACACTATTTACTCACAGCTCTCTCTGGGATGATTACAGACTTTCAATTCATTCATATGTACAGGTGTTCTTTAAAAAACCAAAGTGTAGATTTCGACTTTAGTGTCTTGAGAATTCTGTATTCAAAGTGTCAGCAATCCACAACAGTGATTAGACTGTAGAAGGATGGGTGCTTCGTTTTGTAATTCGTGCATGCAAAATGTGATTGGGGATGGCATTTAATTATGTTGTATGATGTACAGTGTTATTATATTCTATCTATTCTATTCAAATTATGTTTGAAAAAATTCCAAAAGCAAATCTTGAATGAGCCATTTTATCTAAGGAATACTATTTTATTACATCATTGTATACACATGGGCCTTAGAACCAAATTCCAACAGATACCGCTGGATTGCTGTGAATTTTCCAGGCTGTATGGACATGTTCCATAAGCATTCTTTCCTGACGTTTCACCCACAGCTATGGCAAGTATCTTCAGAGGTTGAGGGTTCAGTTGGAAGCTAGGTAAGTGAGATTTATTTATCTGTGCAATGTCCAGGGTGGGAGAAAGAACTCTTATCTGCTTGGGGCAAGTATGCATATTGCAATGCTAATCAAGGTGACCAGCTGCAATATTCACATTTGCCTCAAGCAGACAAGAGTTCTTTCTCCCATATATAAACCGCGCTTGTCTAGTTTCCACGTACCTCAAAGCCTCTGAGGATGCCTGTCATAGATGTGGGCAAAACATCAGGAAAGAATAATTCTGGAACATGGCCATACAACCCAGGAAAACTCACAACAACCCAATGATTCTGCCATGAAAGCCTTTGACCACACACAGATACCACTGTATATTTTAACACTTTATAATTCTTGATTTTTGTGTGTATTTTCCCTTGCATTTCTCTCCAAAAATGAATATGTCTTAAAGAATCCAATAGCTGATAGTATAGCAAAATTACAAGAGATACCTTAAAATACAGCTTGAAACTCGGTGCTTTGACAATGCGAGCAGTGCATTGCTGTGCAAGAGAAAACTTGACATAACATTTTAATTTAAGCTGGAATAATAATAATAATTATTTCACCTTCAAACATCTTGCATGAAACTGTAATTTAAGATGGAATCCGTTACTCCGATGAAATTATTTTAACATCTATTCTTAAATATAAATGTATTTACTTAGCCATCAAATACCTTACATCAATGGTTCTCAACCTGTGGTCCCCAGATGTTTTGGCCTAACAGGTGGTAAACTGGCTGGGATTTCTGGGGGCCCTTCCAAATAGCCCTATATCCCAGAATATCAAGGCAGAAAATCCCACAATATCTGCTTTGAACTGGGTTATCTGTGTCCACACTCAGATAATTTGGGATTTCCTGCCTTGATATTCTGGATAAAGGGCTGTGTGGAAGAGTCCTGGGAGTTTTAGGCCAAAACACCTGGGGGCCCACAGGCTGAGAACCTCTGCCTTACATGAAACTGTAATTTAAGGTGAAACCCATAACTGATGGAATTATTATAACATTTATTCTTTAACATGAATGTATATGTGTTAGCCGCCTTGAATCCCCATGGAGAGAAATGTGGAATATAAATAAAGATAACAACAACAACAACAACAACAACAACTGATTCTGGCAGTCCAAGAACATGCCATTAGAACAAATGCCATCAAAGCCAGAATTGAAAAGTCGACAACAGATCCCAAATGTAGACTCTGCAAGGAAGCAGGTGAAACAATAGATCACATCATCAGCTGCTGCAAGAAGATCGCGCAGACAGACTACAAGCAGAGGCATAACACTGTTGCTCAGATTATTCACTGGAACTTGTGCCACAAATACCATCTGCCGGCCACAAAGAACTGGTGGGATCACAAGCCAGAAAAAGTTACAGAAAATGAACACGTCAAACTCCTCTGGGACTTCCGAATTCAGACAGAGTTTTGGAGCACAATACTCCTGACCTCACAATCGTGTTAAAAAACAAAGTATGGATTGTCGATGTTGCAATCCCAGTGACAGCAGGATTGAAGAGAAACAACTGGAAAAGCTGGCACAGTATGAGGATTTAAAGTTAGAACTGCAAAGACTCTGGCACAAGCCAGTCAAGGTGGTCCCAGTGGTGATCAGCACACTGGGTGCAGTGCCTAATCACCTTGGCCTGCACTTAAACACAATCAGCGCTGACACAATTACCATCTGCCAGCTGCAGAAGGCCACCTTACTGGGATCTGCACACATTATTATCCGATACATCACACAGTCCTAGACACTTGGGAAGTGTCCGACGTGTGATCCAATACAACAGCCAGCGGAGTGATCTTGTCTGCTGTGGACTCGTCTTGTTGTGTTTCAAATAATAATAATAATAATAATAATAATAATAATAATAATAACTACCATTAGCTGTTAAAGCAGGCATGGGCTAACTTGGTCCCTCCAGGTGTTTTGGATCTCATCTCCCACCATTACTAAGAGCCTCAGGCCCTTTAAGAGGCTGGGGGGGGGGGGGAAGGATGGGGCCTGAGGATGTTAGGAATTGTGGGAATCCAAAACACCCGGAGGGCCCAAATTTGCCCATATCTGACCTACACAGAACACCCTTCTCTCTTCCCTTGCAGATATTTTGCACAAGCTTCCAATGCATCTGTGGCAGCTGTTAGGAATGGTGGGAGCTGAAGTCCAAAACATTGGAGGACTTAGATTTTCCCATGCCTGACTTACACAGAACATCCTTCTCTGTTCCCTTGCAGAGTATTTGCACAGGCTTCCAATGCATCTGTGCTGGTTGTTAGGAACTGTGGGAGTTAGTCCAGAACACTTGGAGGGTCCAGGTTTGCCCAGGCCTGACCTACACAGAACACCCTTCTCTGTTCTCTTGCAGAGTGTTTGCACAATACATCTGTGCCAGCTATTAGGAATTGTGGGAGTTGAAATCCAAAACACCTGGAGGGCCCAAGTTTGACCATGCCTGTGTTAAAGGGTACATGTATTTTGGGGGACAGACTGTATAGATGTAATCAAAGTATTTATATTGTTTAGTCAACAGTATGTGGGGGGGGAGGGGGATGATGACAAAATAACAGCCTCGTGTGGATGCATCTATACTGTAGAATTAATGCAGTTTGACACCACTTAAATTGCTATGGAATCCTGGGAGCTGTTTGGTGAGGCACAAACCCTCTTTGGCAGAGAAGGCTAACGAGCTTGTAGAACAGTGTGGTTCCCAACCTTTGGTCCTCCAGGTGTTTTGGACTTCAACTCCCAGAAATCCCAGCCAGCTCACCAGCTGTAAGGAACTGTGGGAGCTGAAGTCCAAAACACCTGGAGGGCCAAAGGTTGGGAACCACTGTTGTAGAACTACAACTCACATGACCTCACAACCTCTGGGGATACCTGCCATAGATGTGGAAGAAACACACTCACATGACCTCACAACCTCTGGGGATGCCTGCCATAGATGTGGGAGAAACGTCAGGAGAGAATGCTTCTGGAACATGGACATACAGCCTGGAAAGCTCACAGCAACCCAACAACTCATAGTTTTGTAACAGCTAAAGCAGTGGTTCTCAATCTGTGGGTCCCCAGGTGTTTTGGCTTACAACTCCCAGAAATCCCAGCTGTTAGATTTCTGGGAGTTGAAGGCCAAAACATCTGGAGACCCAGAGGTTGAGAACCACTCAGCTAAAGTGTTGTTGAACTGCATTCATTTAGCAGCATGAAGCACAAAGTGGGAGTGGGGTGGGGAGTAAAAGGGAAATAACAATAGCTTCCTATGGGTGCATCAACACTGTTGAATTAATGTAGTTTGACACCACTTTAGCTGCCATGGCTCAATGCTATGGAATCCTGGGAGCAGCGACTTCCAGAATCTCCCCCTCGCTAGTGTGGACGAGGATTATATAACCCACGTTACAAGTTACTTTCTGAAGCTTTGGGTGAGCTCTGAAGACACACAACGTGGCGGGCAGAGGATGCCTCGGCTGCACCAGCAGGAGAGAGAGAGAGGGAGTTCTGCCTGGCCCAAGAGCAACATTCACTGACTGTGTGCTTGGAAGCAAAGGGAGGGAGGGAGGAGATTTTGAATTTACCACGACCCCTCGGCCACGGCTGCGTCGCGGCGCCTCTGCTGGGTTGGGGGCCTCGCCGATGCTTTGCCCGGCCATCTTCGGCGAAGGGAGCCTCGAGGAGAAAGGAAGAAGGGGAGAAAGGAAGTAAAGAAAGAAGAGGGAGAAGGGAAAAGATTAGGAGGGAAAGCGAGGGAAAGCGCTCAGCCTGGCCTTCTGCGCCTCTTTGCTGCGAGGAGGCGGGCTTAGGCGCCAGCCTCCAGACCCAGAGTGGAAAAGGAGGAGGAGGAAGGAAGGAAGGAGAAAGCGAAGGAGAAGCAAAGGAGGCGGCGCCTGCCTCGAGTTGAAGGGAGGGAGGCAAGGAAATGGAAGGAAAGGGAGGAAAAGGAAGGAAGGTGGGAAGGGGAAGGATGGGAAAAGAAGGAAGGGGAGAGGGGGATGGAAGGTGGGAAGGAAGGGAAAGGGAAGGAAAGAGGTGAGGGAAAGAAGGAAAGGAAAGGGAGGGAAAGGAAGGAAGAAGAAGGGAAAGGAAGGAAGGGGAGAGGGGGGTGGAAAGTAGGAAGGAAGGAAGGAAGGAAGGAAGGAAGGAAGGAAGGAAGGAAGGGGAGGACAAAGGGAGAAGGAAGGAAGGTGGGAAGGGGAAGGATGGGAAAGGAAAGAAGGGGAGAGGTGGATGGAAAGTGGTAAGGAAGGAAGGGGAAGAGGAAGGAAGATGGGAAGGAAGGAGATGAGGGGAGGGAGGGAAGGGAAAGGATGAGGAGGGGAAGGAAGGAAGGATGAGAAGGGAAGAAACGAATGAAGGAGGGAAGGGAAGAGGAAGGAGGAAAGGGGAGAGGTGGATGGAAAGTGGTAAGGAAGGAAGGGGAAGAGGAAGGAAAGGGAGGGGAGGGGAAGGAAGGAAGGGGGAAGAGAAAGGGAGATGGGAAAGAAGGAGATGAGTGAAGGAAGGGAGGGAAGGGAAAGTATGAGAAGGGGAAGGAAGGAAGGATGAGAAGGGAAGGAAGGAATGAAGGAGAGAAGGGAAGAGGAAGGAGGGAGGGAAGGGAAAGGAAAGGAAGGAAGCGGAGAGGGGGAAGCAAGGAGAGGAAGGAAGGGAAAGGAAGGAAGGTGGGTAGGAAGTTAAGGAAGGAGGTGAGGGAAGGGAGGGAAGGGAGGCACATGGGAAGGAAGAAGAGGAAGGAAGGAAAGAAAAGGAAGGCAAGGAAAGGTGCCTCCATGCCAGGCATGGACCAACTTCAGCTTTCCCTCTAGGTGTTTTGGACTCCAATTTGTTCATTTTGGCATCTGCTCCTTCCTTAGTTGAGAGATGTCTTAGTTGCATCCCATTTAGATTTAGATCCTGCACCTCTTTCTCAACTCAGAAAGGGGTCTTTTAACCACAGCTCCTTCCTCTGTTGAGAGAGACACAGGCAGCCTGGTTATATGGAGCCATATCACTTTCTTGGCTTAGGAGACTCCCTCTTTGGACAAGGAATGAATGTCAGCAACCCAACCTTCTCTTTTGCCTTTGATGGCATCCTATATGGTCTGTCCCCCAAAGTAGTGAGAAAAAATCCTTTACACAGCATAGAAGGGCCAGGATGAAAAAATGCAAATTGAAGCAGGCGGAGAGGGAACCCAGGCATACAGTTTGACCTTCCTTTGTAGCAGTTGGTATGTTAGCAAAGTGTGTAGTGGATTACTGTAAGTTTTCCAGGCAGTATGGCCATGTTCCAGATGCACTCTCTCCTGACGTTTCGCCCACATCTATCGCAGCCATCCTCAGAGGTTGAAGGGTCTGTTGGAAACTTGGACAAGTGGGGTTTATATATCTGTCTTGTTACAGGCAGAAATACAGAGAAGTCTGGTGCAGAACTTCAAGAACTGAGAATAACAGCTCAGTAAAGGCTGTTCTGAACACTGATTTGCCATCGTGTCAGAAGCAAATTGAGGATACAGTTGTAATGTATTTAAAAGTGCAAACAAAGTAAAAAGCTTGGCACTTGGGAGTGCCTCTGGTGTTTCTGCAAGAAGGTCCTCCATTGTGTATGTGGCAGGACTCAGGCTGCATTGTAATAGGTGGTCTGTGGTTTGCTCTTCTCCACACTCGCATGTTGTGGACTCCACTTGGTGGCCCCATTTCTTAAGGTTGGTTCTGCATCTCAAGGTGTCAGAGCGCAGTCCTTGAAGTGACTGGCTTGACCTTGAAGGAGCTGGGGATGGTGACGGCCGACAGGGAGCTCTGGCGTGGGCTGTTTCATGAGGTCACGAAGAGTCAGAAGCGACTGAACAAATGAACAACAACAATGACTTCTAGAAAGAAGGCAGGTAGAAAAACACCTTGAGTTACATAGATCTAGGAAACAGTTTGAAAACAAGGCAAGAAAGCATTAGGGAGTCCTGTAACAAAGTTGGGTAACTTTCTTTTGTCTATCCATCCCTTTATATGAGGTGTATACCCGCAACAATAAAAGTGGGTTTGTTACCTTTTTGAACCATACCAGAACATCCAGCATATTTTATTTCCTGTTTCCTACTACAAGCTCGAGTATAATACTGGTTAAGCTGCACTCCGCAATAGATACCATATGTACCTTTAATGAGTTCTAGGTGAACTGATAATAAGGTAGGCTAAGAATCTCAGGTGGTTTTATGTGGTTATTATGCGAGTCAATATATGCCAAGCAGCAACAAGAGTCATGTCGCCCCATAAAATTAACTTGGCATTTGTTCTTGGTAGTCCCTTGGTTCTAATAAAAGGAAGAATTCTAATGAAAGTCAGTTGTGTTTATTCACCTTTGTTCCCTTTGCTATACCAAATGGGTGTATGAGTTGGCAATTCTGATCGCTGGCTGTTCTTTTACATACAAATATAGATGGAGCGACATTCTTAAGATTCCCTAAAATGTATTTTGTCAAACTTCCTGGAGAGTGAAAGCACGGAATGTTTTCCTTATGTCTGTAGCTCAAATGGTTTTCATTATACCATTTCCCCCCTCCTGTATAATCAGCAGTACCGATGACCAGGGTTGTCAGGTGTCTTCCTGAAAAATAAGGGACATGGGGGGGGGGGGGCTTGTGGGCCAGGGACTTCAATGGACAGGACTTCTGCCCCTCCCCCCCACTCCTCCTCAGCAATTGACATCTCTGTCTGTCCCCTCCTTGCCTTCAGGTCAAATACCAAGGAGGAGGCCGAGGTCCCAGAACATCCCAGGCAATCATCCCCTGGAATGTGGGATATTTTCCCACAATAAGGGACTGCCCTTTAAGATCCAGTAAGCCTGGCAAGCCTGGTGATGACCTTCATGAAAAAGTACACTTCTGTTTTAAGTGGAAAGAGATAGGACTGCTTTATGTTTGATTTGAGAGACACTTCCATGAACATCAAACAGGAAGAAGTGTCTTGTTCTCTTTCGGTGTTCAAGAAGACTGGGGGCCCTTCCACACAGCCCTATATCCCAGAATATCAAGGCAGAAATTCCGAGTGTGGACTCAAATAACCCAGTTCAAAGCAGATATTGTGTGATTTCCTGCCTTGATATTCTGGGATATAGGATTGTGTGGAAGGGCTCTGGAAAGTCTAGGTGAACAGTACATACAATAAAAATGCCAAATGTACCTAGAACAAAATCAGCTTCCTGAAAAACACTCCCATACCTTTCAGCGATGAGTGCATACAGCAGTCTGGTGTCACATGATACACTCTGGATTTATTGGACTGTAATTCCCATAGATCATGAAATTAAATTGCCAATAAAAGTGGTGCCAGTCTGCATTAATTCTACACCTTTAGGGGCATTTTTGGCAACTGCATCCAGCTTTTCTTTCTCTGAAGAAAAAAAACTGGGGAAAGTATATATATGCCTTACCAACATCCCAACAGAGGGGGAGGCAGGCATTTGACTAGGTACACAAGGGGATTTCATCTTCCCTTCATAAGGGAGACTTGACGTTCAAATTGATTGGTTGAGGAGCCTGGTTGGATGAAACCATTCAATGATGTCCTCTGAACACACAAGAGAAATGTCCTCCAGATGTCGTTTTGGTACAATTTAGAGCATTTTGACCTCTGATGGTCACAAAGAGTCCTAGGAGTGTCTGTGGGCCCTTCTACACAGCCCTATATCCCAGAACATCAAGGCAGAAAATCCTATCTGAGTGTGGACTCAGATAACCCAGTACAAAGCAGATATTCTGGGATTTCCTGCCTTGATATTCTGGGATATAGGGCTGTGTGGAAGGGCCCAAAGACCCAATGGGTTGCACTTTCCACCATCACTTTAAATAATGTCACTAAACAATAATTGAAAGAAGGAATCTTAGGGCAGAAACTCCCATAATATCTGCTTTCAACTGGGTTATCTGAGTCAACACTCAGATAATGTGGGATTTCCTGCCCTGATATTCTAGGATATAGGGCGGTGTTTAAGGGGGCCCCGGTGGCGCAGTGGGTTAAAGCACTGAGCTGCTGAGCTTGTTGACCAAAGGGTCGCAGGTTCAATTCCAGGGAGCGGCGTGAGCTTCTGCTGTCAGCCCTAGCTTCTGCCAACCTAGCAGTTCGAAAACATGCAAATGTGAGTAGATCAATAGGTACCTCCGGCGGGAAGGTAACGGCGCTCCATGCAGTCATGCTGACCACATGACCTTGGAGGTGTCTATGGACAACGCTGGCTCTTCAGCTTAGAAATGGAGATGAGCACCACACCCCAGAGTCAGACATGACTGGACTTAATGTCAGGGGACCTTTACCTTTACCTAGAAGGGCCTTTTGCCACACACTACTGTTTCAAGTCACTGTCATAAGAACTCAGATCCTTTTCTTTCTGATCTATTAGCTTGTGTTATCCAGGAGGTGTAGGAAAATGGTATGCAAAGGTCATTCCACACTGCCATATAATCCAGAATATAAAGGCAAACAATCCACATTATCTGCTTTGAATGGGATTATATGAGTAAACTGCTATATAATCCAGTTCAAAGCAGATAATCTGGATTTTATAAAGCTCTGTAGAAGGGGCCAGAGTGTTGCCATGCCGAGTGCAGATTTCGGCATCGTAATAGAACAACGAATGATTAGTTGGGAACGTTATCATGATTAGATTTTTATTGCCAAGAATGAGGAAGGATCTTTATGATTTTTTTTTACTTTTGAACCCAAATCATTCTGTTGGCGCTGAGTTCTATTGATTATCTCAGTGGGTGGAGGATGTCATTTGTTATGTGCTGAGATTTTATTTTATTTTCTTGTCAGGAGCAACTTGAGAAACTGTCTAGATGATGAAATATCTTGGGCTGGCCCTAGGTATACAACATATAGCACAAGTTTATGCATATTTAACAGAAAAGTCAGCCTTACTGGATTCAAGTAGAGTTGCACAGAACTACAGTATTAAACTTTGATCATGTACAGAATTACTCAGTTCAGTAAAATGAATAGACCTGGAATCAGTATTTAGAGCCCTAAATGAATCTGTTCTGTCCTTTCTAATCTTTAATTCATTTGTCAGTTCACATCTATAAGTGGAAATAATAGTGAGTGCCACAAAAATGGTTTTATATTAGGATTAAGAAAATGGCAGAATATGCTCAGATTCAGTTTTTTTTTACTTTTTGTGCACTGTATTCCATTGATGTTTGATACAAACATTTGAAACTAGAGGAATGGCATGCACTGCTCCTGTGTTAGATTTGCCATGTATTTACTTCCTTCAGTTTTATCTTTTTGCAGGAAGATTATAATTCCTAGCCTTTACTGAATATGAATGAAGATATAGAATGTAAAAACTAAATCACAGGCAAAAACATGAAGCTTTAAGGTAATTACCAACATATTTTATTAACTATTTTGCAAGTCATTCCCACCCTGTTAAAATTTACACATCTATGTGAATTATGATTATTCATGATGTTCAAAAAGTAACAGAAACTTTAGACTGCTACATAATATATAGCAATTAGAACAACCTGGGAAAAATAAACTATTTATTTGAAAAAATAAATAATACATATTTTAAAACAACCGCAGTGTAAAATTTGATAGTACTCTAAGAGATTTGGTAAAATTTAAATATTTTCTACATTTGAATATATAAGTATCTTCTCTTTCCATACTGAAAGTAAGCGTCCATATCTCACTATTTTTTCTAATGATGTCCTCATTTGTTTGCAATATAAATCACTTTGTGTTTTTCAATTGTCTGAATATCATGTTCCAACTGTTTCATTTCTGTCTCCAATCGCTCCTTGTGGAGCTTCTTTGGTAATGTGTCGATCTCCACTGAAAGGCTTTGGAACGCTTGATGCACTTCTTCCCAGTTCCTTTTGAGACCCTGTTTCAAAAATATGAAAAGATAAATTAATTTGCAACGTTATATGAACAATCAGAGGGGCTGTGGTGGCACAGCAGGTTAAATCGCTAAGCTGCAGAACTTGCTGAAGGTTCTGGAAGGTCGGCATTTTGAATCCACGGGACAAGGTGAGCTCCCATTGTTAGCCCCAGCTTCTGCCAACCTAGCAGTTCGAAAACATGAGTAGATCAATAGGTACTGCTTTGGCGGGAAGGTAACGGCACTCCATGCAGTCATGCTGGCCACATGACCTAGGAGGCGTCTATGGACAACACCGGCTCTTTAGCTTAGAAATGGAGATGAGCACCACCTCCCAGAGCTGGACCCAACTAGACTTAATTTATTTATTATTTATTTACTGTATTTATATACCGCCTTTCTCACCTCTGGAGGGACTCAAAGTGTTTTACAGCATATTGATGACAAAAATTCAATGCTAACATACAGTAACAGATAGAAATCATAATAAGTAATTACTACATATAACTTTGACTTAAAATCATTAAAACCATTAAATGTAAGACATAAACAAAATGTAAACATACAGCCAAAGCATTAAAATCATCCTAGTATAAATATTAAAATCACATAATAAAAAATGTACACCATAGTCATTCAGATTGTCATCACACATGCTCCTTAACTGATGTCAAGGGGAAGCTGTTACCTTTACTATGAACAATCACAAAGGCTGTAATCTTTCACTCAGGATATAATCTATGTACTCAGAACTAACTTTACACTGATAAAGTTCAAACTGGTTTACTTCTGAGTAGACACGTCCAGGACTGTTGACTAACAGGATAACTTCAGGAAAGCCCATTGAACTCCAATGGGAATTACTTCAGAGTAAAACGAAAGGTATTACACAATAGCATCTCCCTTATACTATTCAGAACAGCATAACTGCACTTTCCCCATACTATTTGTACAATAATAACTTTAAAAAGCAGAAGGCCAGGGGTTATTTTAAAAATGGGTCCAAAATTATAAACATTTGGGTACTTATAGTCTCTATCTACTGTGGATACAGTAGATATGGAATCTACTTTTCAAAATGAACTTGTATCACTCATCTGTTTGCAATTCGAAGAGCATGCTCAGTCATACATAGGTAAAAACTATTCTGTAGCTCCATCTAGTGAAAAACTACTTCCCCCAACTTGAGCTTTTAATAAACCCAGTAACTTTTGCCTGTACAAACTCTTGTTTGTTCTTTTATTCCTGAGACTCTCTCACACTGCAATCAACCCAAATACCTGCAGAAGACTTTCTCTCTCTTCATCAGAAAGCCTTTTCATGGCTCTTTGCCTGAGGGTTTCCTTGACATAGGCATCATACTCTTCTTGAGCCCTTCTTGCTTCTTCAGTTCGCTTAGTAACATACTTTGGAGTAACACCATAATCCTACAAAAAAGTGCAATAAAAACATTAATCATCAGAAGAAAAAAGACCCATATATAATGCAGATGTTTACATTGAGTAGCATGAAATTACACTAAAAACATTAAACTCTTTCTATTTCTTTGACTATTTAGAAGAGAATTCCTGATCCAAATGTCCATTCTTACACAGCCAAAGCTGCATCTGAGAAAAATAGCACCAGTCCTGAGAAATCTAAGGATGTTCAAGGGCAAAACCATTCCACTCCAGAAGAAACATAAAAACTTGCATCTCTAGAGTTACACTAAAATGATTTAGACTGCAGTCCTATGAACAGTAGCCAAAGTATGGTATGTTGAACACAGTTAAGACTTCTGAAAAAATACATATTTGCCTGCACCCTTCCATTTTGCCTCCCATGTCCTTCTGATTTGGCCCGTCCTAAAGTAACTTTTCCTTTTGCTGATGTTCTGCTGTTTTTAATGGTTTAATTAGATTGGTATATGTGTATTATGTTTTTAAATGTGTTTTTAGTTCGTAAACTGTCTGCTGGGCTTGGTCCCGCTTGTAAGCCACCCCGAGTCCCTTCAGGGAGATGGTGGCAGGATAGAAAAATAAAGTTGTTGTTATCATCATCATCATCATCATCATCATCATCATCATTTCTCAGTAGACATACATATACCGCTGCATACCTTTTTCTTGAGAAATTTGGGAAGAAGTCCTGATGTTTCAAGGGCAAATTTGTCTCCTTGCCGTCTGTCCACACAGATTTGTCGAGGTTTCTTAGCCACTCCCATGATCACATTAGCTGCATTGCTACTTATAAAGTTCTTGGTACACTGAACTCCCATAATTGGTTGGTCTGTTGCTTTGGGCACAGTTGCTTCAATTGCTTTCAGACTAAGTTTTTTCCCTGTTGGTTTTTCAATAAAATAAAAAATCACAGAAACAAAAAATTAGAAATATTCCAATATTTTGTAATGTCTCAAAAACCCACAAATCAAATGAAATGTATAAATCTCTGTTAATATCTAAGCCCTTGTGTATCTTGTACTTTACCTTTGGCCCCTTCCTTTTCCCTACTGTTGCTTGATATTCTAGCCTTAGACGACATGACCACATACATCACAGGAAGAAAGACTTCTGGGAGCTTGAAGTGTAATAAGTGTGTCATAAGAGAGAGGTGACATCTCCTTGGCCTGCTGTAACCTACTTCATAAATGAATTGAATAAGGCTGCTGCTATAAACCATCTAGACTAGAAAGACAATGTTTAGCACTGGCTAAGACACTTCGATGTGGCTCAAAAAGTAAGTTCCAGGACCCCATTATTTAAAAAGGGAAACGACGCAATGTTGAAAATTCTATACTGAAACGCACTAAATGTATATATATTTTAAAAAATATGGGCAGAGAATGGGTGTGGGTATAATGTCATGATTTTGAAGAAATGGTTCAAAATTAAATACGGTATCTGCAGCCACCAATAATGGATCTGATGATCAATCCTAATGCTTCTGGGCCATTTCTGTTATTGTAGTGGGGTTTGCCACATTCCCTTTTCCAATGAAAGCAAACGTTCTTTTCAACACTACATACATCTGTAAACATATTCAACACTACATATATTCATAAACATTCTTCCATTCTGAAAGATAATATAAATGCAGCTCTCGAATAACTGGGTGAGGTCTGTAAAATATGGAGTGAATAGTCTCCCTCAGTCATACTTAAGAAAATACAGGCATTGGACAATAAATAAAACCAAAACATTGTCCGCCTGATGTCCAATTTTTCATCCAAAGGTAAAAAGTACTTGTGTAGATCTCTTTGATTCCATTATAATCTTATTTTGCATACAGTAAATTGAAAAGTAGGCCCCTTTGACACTGCCATATAATCCAGTTCAAAACAGATAATCTGGATTTTATATGGAAGTGCAGAAGGGACCATAGACACCAAAAATACTATATATTTCAGATGAGTTCTGCATGTCATAGGATTCACCTCCCAGGATCATGTAGTGATCAGAGAGTTATATGGTATTAAAACCAGAGAGACCTGGTGTCAAATCTCAAATTCTCTGATATAGAATAAGAGGTTTGATTCTGAGCCATTTATTGTATCATGGGCTGGCTGTAGGAATTTAGAGAGCCAGCAAAGTGTTGGACTAGGATTCTGAGAAATCGGGATTTTAATCTCAGCTTGGCCACGGAAACCCACTGGGTGACCTTGGGCAAATCATACCCTCAATCTCAGAAGCAAGCAATGGCAACCCCAAAACAATCCCATGGCAGATTTGCCTTGCGGCCACTGTAAATAAATAATAATAGCCTTACCTGTCTCCGTTTATATCACATTCTGGACCCTTATGTTCACATCTTTGGACACAAGAAATACATTACTCCTTGGAAGCAAGACTACAGGTCCTGTGATTGCAGGCTAAGTACCGAAACAAGGAATTCTCCATCCTTGCTTTTTTTTTTTTAATGGACACCTAAAATCTTCCTTCCTTATCAGGCTCTGGGAATTCAGCCTGAGAAAGATTTTGACAAGGGAAATCCCTTTCTTTTCTTTCTGCTGGGGGGAGTAGAGCAGGGTTTTGACTGATTTGTTCATAGTTACTTTGTTATACTATTCATTTTTATTGTGCGTTTGACAATTATTTTCACACCATTTGTTGTTATCTTCTTGCTCTAAACATGCACTAGAAAGAGGGTATATAAATGCTGTACATTAGGTAAATAAGCAAATATGAAAGAAAAATATCTCCAAAGCTTGTTATTCTGAAAACATACTTTTTGGTAACTTTGGTTCCTTTGAATGTTTCTTAAGGAAGTCTTTGGGAGAGGGCACCTGGACTCTTGCTGGTCCAATGGTTTTCCATGCTGCTTTACTTTCTTCTATTGTACGTTTCACATGTGGTTTAAATGTTGATATATATCTTTAGTAAAGGGAAAATACATAAATAAAATGAAATAGAAGTTATAAATTACTTTCCCCCCACATAGTATTGTGCCAAACTGTCTTAATTCTAAAAATAAAAATTTAATATGAAATATTCTGGATGATCGCTATACAGTAGTTTTGAACTTGTTTGTGTCTGAAAACAATATTATGTGTTGTACATTGCATTCAATCAGCAGAGAAGCATAAAATGTGCAAAAAGAAGGCAGTGCTATGCCAAACTTTAACACTGAATTTGATTTGTAGTGGAATTTCTCCCTCAGCTCACAATGACTGTGTAGTTTTAGCCAGGAAGTGAGAAAGATACAACATTTGTCTGAGGCAGTTAAATTAAATTTCAGTATTGATTTGCCTTTTCTTCAAAAGGATGCTTTCACTGTGTAATTGTGCTTTTAGTAGTTCACCAATCAAAGAAATCTGGGCTAAACTGATATTATTGGGAGCATTGTCTTAGAATTTTGCAGCACTATAATTCCGTGACTGTTTGTCAGCTACAGTGATGTGTCTGTAAAAGTATATGAAATGTGGAATATTAAGATGATTTTAAAAATCAAGAGGTGATTCAAGCATTAGAAAGCCAAAAAGAAAGAGAAGCAAAATCTCAAAATGATACTGAAACACAGTGAAATATTAAAATGCCACTTGCATTTTAGTAAGGTGTTTGGTAGGGGCCATAATAGGAAAACAGTACCCGCATTTCGGAAAGTGACCTTTTTGGACTGCAAATCCCAGAATCCACAACCTAGGATGCCTACTACGCTAGCTGAAAGATTCTGGCAGTCCAGAAAGTATCATTTGTGCTCATGAATGTCTTACTGGCAATACAAGAAAAGAAAAGAAAACCCAACAACTGAGCAGAGCTATTGCTTTACCTCTTCTGATGCTAACTGCCCATCTGTCCAACATAATGATCAACTGAGTTGTAACAGCAAGTCCTTTGTTACTCTGTGAAGCAGATAGTAATACGGAGGAAGAGAGGCTGCTCCATTTCCATCATTAACAGCAAGAGCTTGTGGGACATCCCACTTGGAAGGCAACTTTTTCTGGACATCCCCAAGCTGTGCTCACCCCGTGACAGAACAATTTAGGAAGGGGAACATGTTAAGAGGGCCATGCCAGGCACTCTTATTTTTATATATAAGGGAAATAAATGGGGCAGGTCTATAAAAAGGTAGTACTCTGCTGGCCCAGTCAAACTGTTTGTATTTATGGTGTGCATTTATAAGTGGTTTCAGAGAAGAAGAAAAACCTGTAGGGTATCGTGATGCATTATCAGAGCTGTGCTACGTTTTGAGCTACAACAGGCCATAAAGATTCCTACAGTAAAAAGAGTAACTATTCCAAGTTCTGTGCTAAGTAAGGTATCTTAATTAAGTGGTTGCAGCTTTCCTTTTAATTTTGTCCAGTTGGTCCGTAAAACTGATTTTTGGACAGTGAGCATCACAATATTCCATAAATTTATTCAAAGCTTCAGTAGCTGAAGTGATGAATAAATCAGTTCTCTGCATTTTTCCAAAAGACAAAGACTAGGAATGCTGACGTGATGAAAGTCAGACAGTATCTTGCACCAAAAGAAGTCATGTCACAGAAGGTTCTGTATTCATTTTTTCGCTCATATAAAAACTATTGTCAACCTAGGAAATATCATTTACTGGCAAGTGTAGAGCTTTGTTAAATGATTCCCATGGAAAAATATTCTTATCCCATACCTAGGTGCCTTCACGGGCTTATTCACAATCTTAGGCAGAAGATTGTAAATGCTTTCATCCACGCACAGTGCCGCCATCTTTGTGCTGACAAGCTCTGCAAATGATGTAGTATAAATTGCTCAGATTATTAAACGAAAGCCTGTCATTTTCTCTCACATGGAGACCCTATTCTGTGCTTCCCCTCTGTCATTCTCCATACATATCACACACACTGTCTGCTTTCCCTTCTTTCATTTACATTCCTTTCTTTCACGCTTTCATCCTTTTGCCATTTTCTATGCCAATTCTTCAAGCTTTATATTCTCTTTTATAATCCCTTATCTGTAACAACCTGTTCTGTGGATCTATATGGATGACCTTATTGTTGGAAAATATTGTTCCCTTCAAACATATGCATATGATATATATATATATATATATATATATATATATATATATATATTCACCACTTTTAAAGAAGTAATTGTATTGGCCTGCTATATTGAGGAATGTATTTCCATACTTCTGTGTCTGGTGGGAATGCTTAAGTAACACTTACTATACAGGCTGGGTTTGGAACAGGCTGGCTTGTCTGTGGCTGGATCTACACTGCCATATAATGAAGTTTGAAACTGCATTAAATGAATAATGTAGACTCATATAATGCAGTTTCAGGCTGCATTATATGACAGTATAGATCCAGCCTGTATTGTCTTGCCAAGAGGTAAGGTCCATATTGCCCCCATGTTAGGGAAGTAAGTATATGTATATGTATAAATAAAGTCAGGTCCCATCTACACAGCTTATTTAGGGCAGCTCAAAGCTAGCTTCAAGCTGCACTAGCCAGACAAAAAAGCTGTGGTTAACTTTGAATATGTTTAAATTGATTTTAACTGTGATTAAAAATGTTTATATTTAATTCTGTTTTAATGTTTGCACATTTGTATATTTTAAGTTGTATGCTAATGTTTTTATGTTATGCTGCTTTGAGTCTCCTTTGGGAGAGATAAAGCACGATATAAATAAATATAATAATAATAACTCCCACAAAAGTGTGCAAAAGCAAGCCCTTAATGCACATCAATGCGCTGTGGTTTGTGCAATCATCATCCAAGCTTCCAACTAGTTCCAGGATTTCCTATGTCATCATCTGCACAATGAAACCACAAATACTGATTTGAACTGCATTAAATGGTCAATGTAGATGGGACCACAGCTAACTTAATACGGCCCAAAGATGAAGAAAGGCTATAACTTAGCAATAAATGTACATATCATACTGATCAGCAGGTCCAGATTCAGTCTCCATTTAAAGGGATTTCTTTAGGCCAGAGATACTTGTCACACTGTTTAACAATAAACTGCATAAATAATAATAATAAAATACATTTTATTTATATTCCACTCTATCTCCCCGAGGGAACTCAGGGCAGATTCTAATGACAAAAAGGCAAACATTCAGTGCCTGATAAAACAATAAATACAAATACAATATCGGCCATCCAAAACCTATGGCCCTTCCACACAATCATATAATCCAGAATATCAAGGCGGAAAATCCCACAATATCCGCTTTGAACTGGGTTATCTGAGTCCACACTGCCATATATTCCAGTTCAAAGCAGATAATGTGGGATTTTATTTAGCTGTGTGGAAGGGGCCATAGACCAATATAGACCAAAATATACCTGCATAGACCAAATGTAAACCCAGGTGAAAACCTGGCTATGGGGTTTGGCTTTTGACGAGTGAATCAATATTTCTGTGATCGGATGGATGACGATGAACGACGGACAACGAATTCACTATGACGACTGACCATTGTTATTATGTGATTGCATTTTGCTGTTTTAACGTTTTAATTGAATATGTTATCTGACATTTTTAATGATTGTTTTGTGATATTATTGTTGGAAACCGGCCTAAGTCCCCCGATAGAGGGGAGAAGACCAGTATACAAAATTGCTAAATAAATAAATAAATAAATACCAAATTATAACATACAACCCAAAATTAATTAAATTATATCTAGTATAAATTCCACTTTAATTGCTATGGCTGCCTCCTTTGGAATGATGGGGTTTGTAGTTTAGTGGGGACCAGGACCCTCCCTAAACTACAAACCCCATCATTCCAAAGGAGACAGCCATGGTAGTTAAAGAGAAATAACACTTCAACAGTATGTTGTTGTTCATTCGTTCAGTCGTCTCCGACTCTTCATGACCTCACGGACCAGCCCACGCCAGAGCTCCCTGTCGGCCGTCACCACCCCCAACTCCTTCAAGGTCAGTCCAGTCACTTCAACAGTATAGTCGTGAGATATTCTTTGTTTTAGGGCCTTTCCACACAGCCCTATATCCCAGAATATCAAGGCTGGAAATCCCACAATATCTGCTTTGAACTGCTTTGAACTGGGTTATCTGTGTCCACACTCAGATAATGTGGGATTTTCTGCCTCGATATTCTTGGATATAAAAACTTTAAAAAAGTGTCCCAACACCACAATTCAAGGAAATAATATGGGAATTAAAAGCTTAAACTACATATTAAGATATTTACCCTTGAATTTTAAAAGGAAGGGGGCAAAAGATAGCAGTGGAAGGGCCCTATGACACTTAGAACCCACTGTTGGCCCAAACTAGACAAATATGAGTCAAGAAGGCCAGTGCTTCATATACTGAATCGTATGGATTAGTGGTTAGAGGAGGCCTGGGCCAACTTGGGCCCTCCAGGTGTTTTGGACTTCAACTCCCACAATTCCTAACAGCTTGAGTGGCTGAGGGGGGAAAGAAAGGGGCTTGAGGCTGTCAGGAATTGTGGGAATTGGAGTCCAAAACACCTGGAGGGCCCAGGTTGGTGTAGATATTCCCAACACAAGGCTTTAAAGCAGGTATAGGCAAACTTCGTCCCTCCAGGTGTTTTGGACTTCAACTCCCACAATTCCTAACAGCCTACCGGCTGTTAGGAATTGTGGGAGTTGTAGTCCAAAACACCTGGAGGGACGAAGTTTGCCCATGCCTGCCTTAAAGTAAGAGGGGAATAGGGAGGAATGGGCAGGCAAACCAGCCTTAAATTCTTGGAGAACATACGTGATTGCTTCACAGTCGACACGCGTAACGTCTGAACCCACCCACGCGGGGTTTCTCTCTATTTTGCCTCCTCCTCTCTTTCCCTTTCCCTTCGCCTCTTCCTGGCTTCTCCTTCCCTCGCCTCGTCCTCTTCTGCTCTCATTCGAACGGAGGCTGCTGCTTACAATAAGCACTGTTTGGTTGCCCTTGGATACAATCGCTTAGGAACGTGTATCCACAGAACGGGGGAGCGCCCTTGTGACGTCATTTCCGGAAGCTAGGCGAAACAATGAGCCGAGGAAGGGCGGAAAACAGGAAAAGGACGTAGTGCGCAGGCGCGGGTCGGACACTGCCCGAGAGAGGGAGAGAGACCGCGCACGTCGTCGGGGAGGTTTGCGCATGCGTTGAATTTCTATGTGTGGACTTATATGGCTTAGTAATGGCGGAAAGAGGGAGGGACGCGTTCATCCTTTCTTCTTCTGTCAACTGAGAACAATTACAGTTGTGAGCAGGGCTTGGCCTCATTTCTTTTGGAGGAAAGAGGCTGTGTGGGTTCAGAGACTGGGGGTGTATCCATACTGTAGAATTAATGCAGTTTGACACCACTTTAACTGTTTGGGTATCAGCCAGCACGTCAACGACTTAAATCTAGACATAGTTTTCTAAGATCTACAGAGACTCGCTGGAACACCTCAGCAAGCGAGAGTCCAAAAGTGGCAGGCTCAAACCCAGCACCTCAACCAATGGCTGATACCAAATGAGAGACTCCTCCCTGGGCACAAAGAGAACTGGGCGACTTGGAAGGTGCTGAACAGACTGTGCTCTGGCACCACGAGATGCAGAGCCAACCTTCAGAAATGGGGCCACAAAGTGGAATCCTCGACATGCGAGTGTGGAGAAGAGCAAACTACTGACCACCTGCTGCAATGCAACCTGAGCCCTGCTACATGCACAATGGAGGACCTTCTTGCAGCAACACCGGAGGCACTCCCAAGTGGCCAGATACTGGTCAAAGGACATTTAACCAACTACCAAACTCACAAGTTTTGTATTTTTCTGTTTGTTTGCTTTGTTCTGTTAGAAATGTAATATAATGGACTGGTTGCTCTGACACGACAAATAAACCACTTTAACTGCAATGGTTCAATGTTTAAGGAACCATGGGAGTTGTAGTTTAACAAGGTCTTCAGCCTTCTCTGCCAAACAGTGCTAGTGCCTCACCAAATTACAGTAACCCAGGATTGCCTAGCATTGAGTGGTGTCAAACTGCATTAATTTGTACATGAGTCATGGGCAAACTTAGGCCTTACAGGTGTTTTGGACTTCAACTCCCACAATTCCTAACATCCTCACTCACTCCCCTCCCTTAAGTGGCTGAGGGGGGAAAAGGAAAGGGCTTAAGGCTGTTTGTAATTGTGGGAATTGAAGTCCAAACCACCTGGAGGACTCTAGTATGCCCATGCCTGGTGTAGATGCATCCCAGGAAGGGAGAATTTGGGTCTCTGGGTTGTTGTAGATTTTTTTGGGCTATATGGCCATGTTCTAGAGGCATTTAATCACCTCTCAACAAAAGATTGCTCCAGGCACTGCCATGCAATCAAATGCTAATCAAGGTGGTCAGTTTATTTATTTATTTATTTATTTATTTCTTGTACTTATTGACCGCCACTCTCAGCCCTAGGGGCGACTCGTGGCGGTGAACAACAACATAGAAAGACAATATACAAAAATCACGACAGTACATAACAAGACTACTACTACAAACACATACTTATCCTAAAAATCCGCTTCGTCTAGTCCTAAGGTCATAGCCAAGTTCGTAGTCATAGTCCATTCTAAGTCGTTACACCAATGCACTTAGTTGAAGGCCCGCTCGCAGAGCCAAGTTTTCAGGCTCCTGCGAAAGGCCATCAAAGAGGGCGCCTGTCTAACTTCAGTAGGGAGGGTGTTCCACAACCGGGGGGCCACCACCGAGAAAGCCCTTTCTCTCGTCCCCGCCAGACGTGCCTGTGAGGCAGGCGGGACCGAGAGAAGGGCCTCCCCGGATGATCTCAAGGCCCTCGTGGGCTCGTAGGCCGAGATGCGGTCTGCAAGGTATTTTGGGCCGGAACCGTTTAGGGCTTTGTAGGCTAACACCAGCACCTTAAATTGGGCCCGGTAGCAAATCGGCAGCCAGTGGAGCTGGGACAACAGGGGCGTTGTACGCTCTCTGCGTCCTGCTCCTGTTAATAACATGGCTGCCGCGCGCTGGACTAGCTGAAGCTTCCGGGCCGTCTTCAAGGGCAGCCTCACGTAGAGAGCGTTGCAGTAATCAAGGCGGGATGTGACCAGAGCGTGTACCACCGTGGCCAAGTCAGACTTCCCGAGGTACGGGCGCAGCTGGCGCACGAGCCTGAGCTGTGCAAATGCTCCCCTGGTCACCGCTGAAACCTGTATATGTATCTTCACACCTAGCTCCAGAAGACAAAAGAGTCCTTTGTCTCACCCTGGTCATTCCACAGATATATAAACCCTTTTTCCTAGTTCCAACAGACCTCACTACCTCTGAGGATGCTTGCCATAGATGCAGGCGAAACGTCAGGAGAGAATGCCTCTAGAACATGGCCATATAGCCCGAAAAAAAACCTACAACAACCCAGTGATTCCGGCCATGAAAGCCTTCGACAATACAATTTGGGTCTCCTTTTCTGTTCCTAGCTGTGGATTGTGGGAGCTGTTGTGCACAAAAGTAACTTTCCAAAGTAATGAGATAACACAGAATTACTATGAGAGGATAACCTCCATTTTTATTTTTGGACTACATTTCCCATCATGCAGCATAGCCAGCAGGGAATGGTAGATTAAAATAGTGAACAGGGCAGACAGCGAAACAAACAAACTGGTGGCACCTCAAAGCTTAAGGCCTTCTCCACATATTGAACTACAACTCCCATCACTCGAACCAGCATCACAAATCAAGATTATGAGAGTTGTGGCTCAACAGCAATAGCATCCCTCCCTGTGTCTTAAATATTTTATTGGGAAACTCAACTTTTTGGACTAAAAACCATGAACTGTGAGTTCCAAAGATCCAGAACCATAAACTATAAACTGGGTTTTAAGGTGCAGCTTGTGGCTTTTCTACACAAAGCTCAGATCTATTAAGGGAAATAATAAATGATTACAGGAGCTGGACATGTTTAGCCTGAAGAAGAGAAGGCTGAGAGGAAATATGATAGCCATGTATAAATATGTGAGAGGAAGCCACAGGGAGGAGGGAGAAAGCTTGTTTTCTGCTTCCTTGGAGACTAGGACGCGGAACATTGACTTCAAACTACAAGAAAGGAGATGCCATCTGAACATTAGGACGAACTTCCTGACTGTGAGAGCCGTTCAGCAGTGGAACTCTCTGCCCCGGAGTGTGGTGGAGGCTCCATCTTTGGAAGCTTTTAAACAGATGCTGGATGGCCATCTGTCAGGGGTGCTTTGAATGCAATATTCCTGCTTCTTGGCAGGGGGTTGGACTGTATGATCCTTGAGGTCTCTTCCAACTCTATGATTCTATGACAGTAGGCTCTCTGTTAACTGAAACTGAGCTAGCAAAAGAATATTAAAAATTTAAATTAAATTACAGTAAAACACGTTTAGTTAACATTGTCTTAGTTTGCTTTTAATTGCTGCATTTCAATATTAATATGAACTCTGTTTATAGAATGATACCGTATGGGGTGGAGTATTGGGCGTATTTTAATACAGTAGAGTCTCATCCTACATAAACGGGCCAGCAAAATGTTGGATAAGCAAAAATGTTGAATAATAAGGAGAGTTTAAGGAAAAGCCGAATAAATGTCAAATTATGTTATGATTTTACAAATTAAGCATCAAACCATCATGTTTTACAACAAATCGACAGAAAAAGCGGTTCAATACATGGTAACGTTATGTAATAATTACTGTATTTACAAATTTAGCACCAAAACATCACAATGTATTGAAACAACTGTGGATCCAGGCAGGAGGCTGACTGTGTTGGATAAAGCAGAACGTTGGATGAGTGAAGATTGGATAAGCGAGACTCTGCTGTAGCAACTCTCAAGCAACCAGAAACCATTTTTATCTGGTATCTACCAATCTCCATTTGTTGCTTAATAGTGTACAGTGTTTGTTTTTATAGTTAATGATGATTTCCCTGAACAAACAGAGTGAACCCACTGTCCTGACAACACGTGCACTTTTAATCATTGCCTGGGAGCCCTCTTGACCCTGTGCTCCTTTATTCCCTCTGGAAAGCATTTGCTCATGTGGCAGTCGCCTCACTATGATCTGTCTTTTTTCTTCTATTCAATCTAGATTAATTTTGTAAGAGACAAACGTGATTCCTGTGCACAAGTGTTTCACAAATATTATTTGGATGTTTTTTCAACACCTGCCTTGAAGATATCTGGATAGAACTAAATTGCTGCTGTAACGGTAAGTTGTGGGTGCCTTTATTCTGTGCTTGATTTCTAAGGGTACAAAATGTGTTTACAGTAGATGTTAGGCAGGATTTGTTTATAACTGTTTCCCAACCTGGCGTCTTCCAGGTGCATTGAATTACAGTCACCATTATCCTCAGCCAACATGGGCAAGTTGGCTGGGACTCATTGAGGTTATAGTCCGGCATGCCTGAAAGTATATGGTTGAGGGAGACAGTTAGATAAATAGATGTGCTCAGACTTCATTAGTCTTTGGAAGTTTGCCACCTGCCATTCCGGTGGAAGCTCAATATTTTTATTATTAAGTTATTAAAAGTTATTATTATTTAATGTTATTCTATGATTAATCAATGGCTGTATTATATCAATGTTTCAATTGAAGCAGTTAGGGAGGGCTGAATTAGTGATGTTAGAAGCCACTATGCATTTTTTTATTATTGAAAAATGTTACCTTTCTAGAATCAGTGCCGTTATTGAGTGTTCCTCTTAACATGGCAGTTTTAAAGCCATTCAATTTGTACTGCTATTTAAAGGTTAAACTGTGCAAAATAGAGAAAATAAACTGTAAGGATTTATATAAGGCACAGTGGTTAATTTTTGTGTAAAGGTAACTGTTTCACCTTCACATTAAGTCTAGTGGTGTCCAACTCTTGAGGTTGGCGCTCATCTTCATTTCTAAGCCAAAGAGCTGGCATTGTCCTTAGACGCCTCCAAGGTCATGTGGCCTGCATGACTGCATGGAGCACCATTACCTTCCCACAGAAGCAGTACCTATTGATCTACTCACATTTGCATGTTTTCAAACTGCTAGGTTGGCAGAAGCTGGGGCTAACAGTGGGAGCTCACCCCACTCCCCAGATTCGAACCACTGATCTTTTGGTCAGCAAGTTCAGCAGGTCAGCGGTTTAACCCACTTCACCTCTGGGAGGCTCGGTTTTTGTGTACATAACTGTTTTTCAGAGTTTCGACAGACACAACTTTAAAGATGAAACTTTACTTTCATTTCAACATTCACAGAAGATGACTTTTAATGCAATTATAACCTTATTTGTTGGAATGGGACTTGATGTTATCAAAATCTCAGACAAATAAGGAATTCTGTGGAAAACATGTCCCCATGCAAGAGGAAAGGAGCAGTCAAAAAACACTTTTGTATTTTAAATATCAAGTAGCTAAGATATAAAGTATTTTACTGTAGCTAACTGCCTTTTTTCTTCTCTTGTTTGAAGGATTTATATTTCTTGTGAAGTCAGTGAGAGGAGAAAAACATGTTTCATATGGTTTGGAATTATCATCTGAAACTACTGACTGACACCATGGTTTCTGATGCATATTTCAAGTTGTTGTTTTCAAGGAGCTTTGTGCCTTCATGGAGGCCAAGGATGTCAGTTCATTCTCTTCTTAGAAACAAGAACATTGTCCTTATGGGACCTCCCGGTGCTGGAAAAACAACAGTAGGAAAGATAATAGGGAAGAAACTGGATGCTCGTTTCATAGATGTCGATGATGACGTTCTTGAAACAACCTGGAATATGAGCGTGGCAGAAAAATTGAAGGAAGTTGGCAGTGAGCAATTTTTAGAAGAGGAAGGAAAAGCTCTGTTAAATCTTTCGGCATCTGAAAGTGTAGTCTCCCTTTCTGGATCTAACCCAATGAATGCTGTTGGTATGGAGCATGTGAAGAAAAGTGGGATTGTAGTGTACTTGGATGTGCCCTCAGCTCACATAAAGGATCGGCTGCAATTAATGAAAGTCGATCGCATTGTAGGGCAGGGTCCTGGAACTTCAATGAATGACATTCTTGAGTTTAGGAAGCAGTTTTACAGGAAGTGGCACGACATCCGTGTTCTTTGTGAAGATGGAATTACAGCAGAGGCTGTAGCTGACAAAGTACTCCATGCAGTTAAGCGGTACCAAGATTCAGAATCAGAAGGCTTCATTTCAACCAGGAGTTTACAAGGTAGTACAAAATCTAAGCAAAATAATTCTACCAAATATTTTAGCGATGCTGTGATTGAGGGCCTGGCACCTGATGGTGGACTCTTTGTTCCTGAGATGGGACTTCCAGTATTCACCCCTGGAGAATGGCAAAATTTATTAGGGGCAACCTATGCTGAAAGAGCTCAGGTAATATTGGAAAGATGCATACATCCAGCTGATGTTCCTGCTTCCCAGTTGTGGAAAATGGTTGAGACTGCGTATGGACAAAATTTTACGTGTCCTAAAATTGCACCCGTTAGGCATCTGACTGGCAATCAGTTTCTTCTGGAGCTGTTTCATGGACCAACAGCTTCATTTAAGGATTTGGCGTTGCAGTTGATGCCTCATTTGTTTGCATACTGCATCCCTAAAAGCTGCAATTATTTGATCCTGGTAGCTACTTCAGGTGACACAGGAAGTGCTGTCCTAGATGGTTTTAGTCGGCTTAAGGAGACCGATAAGCAACGGATTGCTGTGGTCACTTTCTTTCCTCAGGATGGAGTTAGTGAGATACAGAAATTGCAGATGATTGGCTGCCAGGAAGCAAATACAAAAGCAATAGGTGTTGAATCTGATTTTGATTTCTGCCAATCTTCTATCAAGAAAATATTCACCAATTCATCTTACACTGGGTACCTCACGATGGAATATGGGACGACCCTAAGTGCAGCGAACTCTATAAACTGGGCACGCTTGCTTCCTCAAGTAGTTTATCATGCTTCTGCCTACCTGAACCTTGTTGAGCAAGGTACAATTTCTTTTGGGAGCCCAGTGGATGTCTGTATTCCCACAGGAAACTTTGGCAATGTATTAGCAGCTATGTATGCAAAAACAATGGGAATTCCTATACGAAAATGCATCTGTGCCTCTAATCAGAACAATGTCTTGACTGAGTTTATAAAGACAGGCTTGTACAACTTGAAGGGGAGGCGACTAATGCAGAGTCTGTCACCAGCAGTAGACATTTTGAAGTCTTCCAACCTTGAACGACATTTGCATTGGATTGCTAATGGAGATGGACATCTGGTGACACAATTGTTTAACTGCTTGGAAAATCAGCAGTACTTCCAATTGCAGCAAAATCTCCTTGAAAAGCTTCAGCAGGACTTGATGGCTGACTGGTGCTCTGAAGAAGACTGCCTGGCTGCCATTCATTCTGTGTTCAGTACTACAGGATATATTATGGACACACATACAGCCATTGCGAAAGTAGTTGCAGATCGTCTGCAAGATAAAACATGTCCGGTGATCATTAGTTCAACTGCTCATTATTCCAAATTTGCACCTGCTATTCTACAAGCATTGAGGATTGATGAAATAAAACAGACACCATTGAGCCAGCTTCACTTGTTAAACTCTTATAAACCTTTGCCTCCAATCCATAAGGGCTTAATAGAGGCACTGAAAAAGAATGAAACACAGAACTATGAGGTCTGTACTGCAGACACGGATGCTCTTACGAAACACATTGAAGCCTTAATACAAAATCACTTCATGAGAGTTTTCTAGCAGAAAGCATACTTACCATTTGTTCTTTTTTAAAAATTTTTTAACCCCAACCAAATGTCTGTGGCAATAAATGTTAGTCAGTGGTGTTGGGTGTAATGAATTTTATTTCACAATGTTTATATGAACACTGAGTATGTGGTAGGAAACAAAATGAGTATTAATGAACAATAGTGTCATAAAGGCAAGGTAGTTTATGTTTGTAGAAAAATGAAACTAGGATGAAAATGTCTGCTTTGGTTTTCCTTTGAATATTGGATTATGAGTCTGGGAGACCAGAGATCAAATCTCCACTTGGTCATGAGAACCAACTGGGTGATCTTGGACAAGTCACATACTCTCACCTCAAAAAAGGCCAACTCAACTTTGCTTCTGAACAAGAAAACACAATGACAGACTTGCCTTAGGGTCACTGTAAGTAAAAAAATTAAAGTACTCAGCGTCAAGTATGTTATCTGTACATTTTCTTTTATAAGTCAAACAGCAAGTTCAGATTATTGATAAATGTGAGATCCCATTCATGGATTACCCATTATCACATCTAGTTGAACCTTAAGTACTTCAGAAGTCTTAGCAAAAGATAAGAAAAGGTACTTGTGTAACATATTTGCAAAAGGGTGAATAAAGTTTCACTTTGTCTACTAAAAGGAGTGACATCTGTGATACATCTAGATCGGTACACATTTAGTTGGCTTTCCTTTGGATGCCCAGTAGATTGGAAGAACATGAAAGCCATCTAAAAGGGAAATATTATATCCAGGGAGTGGTCAAGAAGTGCAAACATTTCACAAAATGACCAGTGCCAAAATTAATGAGATGGAGACAGAGTTGGTCACATCTAATTTAATTCTCATTGCTTTCAGTGGGTGTGTTCTTAAGTATGGATCCAGTTATCTACAGAAATGCCAATAGGAAAAAATATGTTTCATTTAGCATACTCTGTTAGAAGTCCAAAATTATGAAGAAATGTAGAACTAAGCCAGGTTGGACTATTTGTCAAGCTTTGTGTTCTCTCTTCTAACTGGCAGACACTTTCCAAGCTCTGAGATATAGATCATTCCCATCTCCAGCTGTTTCATCTTTTTACTTGGAAATAGTAGAAACTGAATCTGAATGAAATACCCTATTGACAGTAACAAAGTCAATTCTGTGTGTATAATATAAGCAATTGATAGGCTGTATGGCATACTCTTCTGAGTTCCCCTATCTTCCCAACATGGAGCCCCCGGTGGTGCAGTGGGTTAAAACCCTTCTTCCAGCAGGATTGCTGACCAAAAGGTTGGTGGTCAGAATCTGGGGGTGAGCTTCCATCTGTCAGCTCTAGCTTCCCTTGCAGGGACATGAGAAGCCTCCCACAGGATGGTAAAACATCCGGGCATCCCCTGCTCAACGTCCTTACAGACGGCCAATTCTCTCACACCAGAAGTGACTAGCAGTTTTTCAAGTCGCTCCTGACACACACATACAAATCACTTCCCAACATTAATGTGAATTTTCTCTTAAAGGCTACTAAATGTTTTGTGGCATGACCTGTTGCAAACAACAATTTACTCAATCAGATGTGTCTGCCTAACTAATAAAGAAATGACACTGTTTTAGGAAATAATTTCCAAACCCTTAGTTGTAAAGCAAAACAGCTTTTTCCAGATACCTGTTATTTTCAGCTCTTAACCACAAGATGGCATTCCTAACAGTATGCTAACGATAGTTGACTAATAAAATGTCAAAGTTTGAACTTGCATTAAGAAATTCCTGCAAGTTTTTTTTAATACTGTTAAACTATAATAAAGTGGGAAATTAATTTAAATCTCTGTGAATTAATACGCTTTGGCAGGCATGCAAAGAACCACTTTGTTCTAAAATGTTTTTGGGATAACTTTTTCTGTCAATTTCAACAGTAACATGTTGGTCTCATGGCTAGGATCTTCTGGCATAGTCAGCCCATTTGCTTTGCATTGCATTGGGATTTGCTCAGATGGTAAACTATGCTGTTGTGTCTTTCCTTCCTTTTTCTAGAACAGTACATAGGAAAATCCATGAGTTCTATATGTGATCTATATGTCTCTCACTCTTGTTTTCCCTTGTGGGGTGAAATGACTCTTTTATACTCTGAATAATCCTAGGGATTTGGACACTGTTGTTTCCTTGCTTTAATTTTCAGCAAGTGAAAAAAAATCTCATTATTGTGAGATTTATTGCATTTTATAACATCTACATAATTGCCACCCCTGTGCCTATTTTGTTTACACAAAAGTAAATTTTGTGTAAAGCTTTGACTTTATCCAGAAGGAGAAAATAGCAAAGGATGGTGGATGTTTTTTGATGGTACAGTGTCTGCAGTTCGGCACTTTGTAATCAAAAAGTCCTGCATGAAGACGTACAGCAGGGATGGGTAATTATTGTGGGCCCAGGAACAAGTTCCCTCCTAAAAGCCATCAGACGCATCCTACTGCTGAAATTTGACAACAAGAATTTGGGTTTGTCCCATGTTCAGTTATGGGAAAAACAATTTTCCACTAAGGCATGTAGGCTCCTGATATTCCAGCATCAAATGGGGATGGGAGCAGTGAATGTGGTTAGGCACCATGCTGCTGAATTACAGTGCTAATTAGGAACTCAGAACCTAATTTGTCCTGGATTCCTGCCAAAAAGTGGTGCCTTAAGACCCATTGTTGGCCAATCTACAATACAAAATGACACAACATATTTAGTGAAGCTGAAATGGAAGGGATAAAAATGACCTGTCTTGGAGAAATGACAATAGCACTAAGCAGCAAGTACAAATAATCTCATGTTTAAGTGTAGACACTTTAATAAAAAAAAAAAACAACCTCAAAAACCCTGGATCAACTTATCCATAGGTCAATGTAAGTACTGTATCTTAACTCTTGTCAAAAAAGGAATCAGTTCCTTCTCTGAATGTCAAAAAGCAAAAGTCTAGTCCATTGCAGCAAAACTTAAAAATTGCTGACCCATTCCACTATCTCCACCAAGGCACTCTTGATCTTTTTGAATGCCTGAGTGTGGAAATGGTAGCAGCACGCAGAGATGTCTTGCCTCCTAAGGTGGCATTATGGCTTTTTGAATTCCACAGTATGATTCTCAATTTATCCATCAAAATCTATAATTTTGGCCCCCTAACTGGCCAACTTCATATACATGAACTTGACATATACATGAGTATATACAGCAACTCTCTGCAGCCATCAGTGTATACAGAATGAAGCAGGTACTCTGAAGTGGGGAAGCTGCTTTCATATGTCTGCATTACCACTGCAGTCCTATCTGGCTTTTCTGTATATTAAAATGCCATTTAATGAGAAACTTTTTGAGAGCGGTCGTCATGCTCTGTTTTAGTCAATAACCCCCAGGCAGCATATTATGCCAACTCTTCTGTCCTTCTTGCTTGGGTTGTGTTTGCTCTTCGGAGTCTAGGGAGGAATGAAATTGATGAGAGTTCGGCTTGTCTTGCTTCAGAGAGCAGAAGTCCTGTCAATTCCAATCCCTCACTAGTTTCCAAGAGTGAAGCTGGCAACAGGAGTAGAAGAATATGCTGACATACATACAGCTGCAGAGCTACAGCTCTTCTTGGATCAGCCAAACTTACATTCAGTTTTAAGTTGTTTACATACCCTTCAAGCTAATGGGGAAGAGAGGAAAACTGGAAAAAACCCATATTTGTGGTACTTTAAATTGCTGTGTAGATGGAGGAGTTGTAAAGAGTGGGCCTCTATCCACTGGGCAACCTATTCCTTTTTATGACTTGTTAATAAATCATGTTAGAAGAACTAGAACTATGTTGTTCAGGCACTCCCTATAGTTGGGTTGATCTAACAAGAACCTGGAAAAGTTATGCGTTATGTTGGCTGGGAGAATCTGGAAACTAGTTCCAAATGTAATCTAATTTCTTGATCCACCTGAGGATGGGTGGGTGAGTGAAAGTTAAAAATGTCTTGTATTCAAAAGAAATGTGAAAAAGTAACTGGCCAATATGTATACCCTCCAGAAAACATTTAAAATGAATATATATATACCGGTGGACAATATTGATCAGATATGTTCACTGCCCAACCAATATAAGTATGCTTCTTCTTAATGATAAGTATGAGTTTTAAAGTACTGTATTATGGATTATTTAAAATGTATTGGTTTTGTACGCTCTTTTAATTGGTATAGTGTGTTGTTGCTCCTTGCCTCAATCCATATAGAGAGGTAAGAAATCATCTAATTCTTGTTTTACATCAAAAGAATCAATGGATCACAGTGCACCTGACCAATTTACATTCTACAGCATGATGTGCTGTCTTGATCAAAGATATAGTTTCCTATTATTACTTCAGATTTTATATTGCTTATGATTCCGTTCTACAGTGTGTGTCCAAGCTGCAGGCTGACTCCATGGCTAGGCCTCACTTGGCATCAGCAGGGAGGGCCAGCTTGCTATGGATGGTTGGTGCATTGTTTTTACTTGGGGAGGGGGGAGATTTGCACATGTGCTCTTATGTATTCATGGTTTTGGGGTTTTTAAATTCTTTCTGGTTTCTTTTTAAAGCTTTTTTTTGAGTGAAAGACATACATTGGATTAGGTGATGTATTATGGCCCAATTTGCCATCATTTCATTCCATGTTTTTTTTTGTTTACTGTATCCTACAAATGAACATTACATTTTTACATATATAGATTGCAATTTCTGCAAGAGAAGGCTTTACTCCAGAGCTCACTATATGGAAGTTTATCTTCTTGGGATTTAAATTCCCATGATAGCTTCTCTTAACACCTGTCTTAAAACATTTCCTTCCATCTCCAATTAGCTTTCTTCCCTAAATACCCTGGAAATAGCATCAGTATAATTAGACTTAGTTGATTGTACTGTAACTTGAGTGTGTGCATAAATAAAAACACACTTTCTATGGAGAGGAGTAACAAGTCTAATAAAGAAATCATTCATGTAACTGTTAAATTTTAGAGTATCCCTGAAACCACCTTTGTAATTTTTTTGATTGTGAAACAGCTGTCTGGGTAATATACTCAAATTTTTCACTGTCAAATTTTATCATAAAGTCTATTTTGTAGAATCTTTTAAATTCCCACCTGTTCCTCCTATGGCAGAATATAAGACTACCCTTTGTAGAACCAATTTAGAACTATATTAAACTTAAAAGAATTAAGAGCATAAACTTATTTTTGAAAAAGTGGGGATTAATAGGAAACTTGGGGCTAATACTGTATATTAAGTTCCTTTCAGGTTAATTATGTGGACTAGAATTCAGGAATTTTGCTGGCTTGCTCAGGTTTGGCAAAAACATGTCCGTATTTCTGATGGCATGCATGAAGGGAAAGCTCCCTTTCTAATGGCTTTTGTGTGTGAAAGAGTTTGCCAATTATCACATTCCTAAGTAGAAATGCTGTGTGCATTGGCAAAGCAAACATTTTAAGTGGGAGGAATCGTTGAAAAAACATTGCTTTTAGGGTGGGTATGTAATACAGTGCCAAACAAAAGCATAAAACACACCACTGCTATCATTTGAGCAGAATAATAGAATCTTAGAGTTGGAAGAGACTGCATGGGCCACCTAGTCCAATTTCCTGCCATATAGGAATAAATTAAAGCATACCAGAAAAAGATCCATCCTATCTCTGCTTGAA